GGCTCGTTGGGCCCGGCTGCCCACGTTCCTTACCGCTTTTTGAGGGAAACGGGCCAATTGCGCACACGCGCACAGCTTAGGGTGCTTGTGTCACCGCCGAGCAGCTGGAGCGTCGCAGTGTGGTGGTGTGCGCATGTGTTCCCAGCGTGCGTGCCCAAGGTGGACGCCCGGCCCCGTCTCAGCGTACCGGTTGCAACGCGATGTGGAACCCACCAATGCTCTGGTATCAACCTTGCGAGAATATTGCCAATTGTATGATGTGCAAAAATGCACTTTTGTGTGAATTCACTCAAGGTGAGCGTGAACCTGGGCACGGACCCAAGACCAGTTGGGGGGGTGGAAACCCCCCCCCCCATGGATAAAAAGCTGTTTCCAGAGATCAGCTGCCTTGGTTTGTCCTGTCCGGGAGCCTTCTCCCTTCGTTATGCCGCCGTAGTAATTTTTATATCTTGTTATCTCTCGGGTTCAGCTGTTTTGTGTAAAAGACGTGGCAAGGGAAGAAGGTTGGCATAGCTGGCTGCCTCAGGTTCAGTGGCCCTTTTAAATCGATGCTTCTCAGAGGACAGCGTGATGCCACCGCTGAGGCTCCCACGATATAAGAAGAAGGAGGGGCAGAGTCAAAAGAGGAATCAGCTTAGAATCCCTACATAGTCACAAACTCACCAAGCACAACCTCTCTTGCCCCTTATCTAATGCCAGGAGAGTTCCAATCAGTTAGTTTAGATTCCTGCGCATACGCGTCTTTAGTAATAAATCAATTTATTGCTAATTTGTGGTCCTGGCCTTTTGAACCTGTTGCATTGATGCCTCTCCCCCCCCAAAATTATTTTTTTTGGGGGGGAATGCTTGCATTTAGAAAACAGCTCTTCCTTTTCCTGTTTTTTCTCCTTTCTTTTCTGCTTTCCCTTTGATTTGCGGTGTTGTGTTTCTACCCACCCACACACCCCTTTGACTTCACAATTTCTCGACGCGCATCTTTATTTACGTTTTCCGATTTATTGCTCCACCGCCCAGGGAACGTGAATTACTTAGATATATAAAAGCATAATAAAGAGGCAAATAAAAGCTGCCTTTTTAAAGAACGCGGTGCCCATTAGGAGACATCCTCGGCCACGGACCGCAGAAAGCATTACGGAAAGAGATCTCTCTCTCTCTCGGTGAAGGGCAATAAAAGTGATTTAGAGGGGAGGTCGTGTCCAATCATAACAATTCTCCGCAATTAGGCATTTCTTCCAGCCTGCAGAACTTACTCATCCACCGCTGATTGTGTTAACTGGGACAAAAAAGCAATTGTTAAAGCTCAGGTAGGTTCAGCTAGAAATGCCGGAGTCGGCAGTCGCATTTCCGACCCCAATGTCACAGTAACCTACGCTGGCGAGATGGACTGTATGAAAAGCCCGTTTCCAGGAAGAATTTAAAGTTCAGCCATTCGGAGGGGGAGCAGCTACTGCGGCCGCATTCTAGATTTTCTGGAAAGGGAAGGAGGAGGAGGGCTGGGAGAAAGAAATTTCAACCTGCCAGCTTCCCCGAAGCACATCCTCTTTCATCCGGACCTCTGGGAGAAGATTTGGCCATCAGAAAAAGAACCTTTTGCCCTGCCAGCAAAATCTTTCAGCCTCCCTTCCCCGCCCCCCTGCT